AAATCAAGAACTTTAGAAACTGAACTTTCCCCCAATCCCTAGTAGTTGTCCCAGGTCAACTCTAGAATTCTCTGGAAGACCACAAAGTTACTCTATCTACCACTTCCTCTGCTTCTAGTCCTAAAAGAAACATTTAAAACACCATTATGGTCAGCCTTACAAGTGTTAATTGGCTCTCCCAACAAGATTATAAATTCATCAAAATCTCACCGAGGGCAAGGACCATGTCTTAAGTTTCTATCCCCCCAGGAAGAGATGATATACACTTAATATTTGATGAATGAGTTAGCCATGGGTCATCTGAAGGGATATTGGATAATATCTGTTTTCCTCCTAGCCTCAAATATTAACCCCAACGCCTATCATTCCACTATTATAGTTTCAGTCCTTGAAATCCTCAGTTTTCAAGGATCCACTTTTAAAATGAAATACTGTACTTCTGCTCTGCTGTCTTTTCATGGCCATAGGTGCTGTTGAAACGGTTATCTATAGCACTGCCTCTATTGCTAAGTAAAGAAAGGCTCAACACTAGCATTGGTCACCAGATGATTTATTACTTGAGCTTCAATAGCTCATGAAACTAAGGCATGAAGGTGCTGCTCTCTGTATTGGTTAAAAGACTATTCTCATCAAGGAAGCTACGAGTCTTTAAAGTTCAAGGGCTCTACTTAGGGCCATGAAAACCATTACATTAGCTCCAAATCATGCTTCATGCCATGCAGCCATCCACCAGGACACCAGCATCTAGCCAACGTGTACATGTTCCTCTCTGTCCTGCTGCTACCTGTCTCTCCATACTAGGACCAGACCTCCAGAGGCCCTGCCTCTCTCATCCCAGGGGAGTTAATTCATCCAGTTTTGGGAATCTTCCTGGGATGAAGCCATCCAGATTACAGAGTGAGCCAATCCCACCTCTGCCCTCTACACCCAGCGGATCCCAGACCCCCAAGACCATGTTTCTTCATTCCACACAGCCAGGGCCTGGACAGCATGGAAAAATTTCCTTATATTGGCAATTTCAAGAAGTGGTGGGTTCCCCATTTCTGGAGGTCTTTAAATAGCAGTTAGACAATGCTTTGTCAGGTATATCGTAGTGGGGATTTTTTAAAATGTATTTTTAGTCTTGACATTCACTTCCATAAAATTTTGAGTTCCAAATTTTTCTCCCCATCTCTCCCCTCCCCCCCACCCAAAGACTATGTGCAATTTTATATAGGCTCTACATGTACATCCATATTAAGCCTATTTTCACATTAGTCATGTTGTAAAGAAGAATTAGAACCAATGGGAGAAACCACAAGAAAGAAGAAACAAACAAAAAGGAAAAAAAAGAGAGCAAATAATACGCTTTGATCTGCATTCCAACTCCATAGTTCTTTTTCTGGATGTGGATAGCATTTTCCATCATGAGTCCTTTGGAGTTGTCTTGGATCCTTGCATTGCTAAGAAGAGATAAGTCTATCAAAGTCAGTCATCGCATTATGTGGCAGTTACTGTGTACAGTCTTCTCCTGGCTCTGCTCACTTCACTCAGCATCAGTTCATTCAAGTCTTTCCAGGTTTTTCTGAAGTCTGCCTGCTCTTCATTTCTTATAGTACAGTAGTATTCCATTATATTCATGTATCACAACTTGTTAAGCCCTTCCCCAACTGATGGGCATCCCCTCAATCTCCAATTCTTTGCCATATAGTGTGGATTTCCTTCAGGTAGGGGTAGAACTAAATGGCTGCTAAGGTCCCTTCCAATTCTCAAATCCCAGCACTGGGACATGGCACCTTGATGTCTGGCAAGCAGTACACTTGATAAATGCTTGTCAGTCATTCCTTGATTTTCCCAACCCACTTCTGACCTCTTGCCCTGGATAATAATCAAATATTACCATTGCTTCTAGAAAGGGTATGGGAAGCAACTGCTACATACTCCATTCATAAGACCCTCTTTGCTGTCCATTGCTTTCTCACGTGGGCTGTGCCACACATTCCTCCTAGAACGTAAGCTCCAGGAGGGCAAGGACTGTCACCTTTCTATTTGTATCCCCAGCATCTAGTACAGTGCCAGGCACACGTAGCATTGAGAGTGCTTAATAAGTACTTGATTGATTGATAGCAAGTGCTATCAGTTAACAGTAACTTAGCTACTAGTTAAAAATAAGTACAAAGAGATGTAGGATAACTAGAAGGAGGGCAACAGGAATTACTAAGAAACAAATTTTACCGACATCCCCAATTTCACATTTTGTGCCAAAGTTAACACTAATCTGGGGCAGCTAGGTGACGCAGTTGATAGAGCACTGGCCCTGGAGTCAGGAGGACCTGAGTTCAAATCCACCCTCAGACACATAACACTTACTAGCTGTGTGACCCTGGGCAAGTCACTTAACCCCATTGCCCAGCCAAAACAAAACAAAACAAAACAAAAATGGTTAACACTGATCATGAGAAACTCTGTCTACTCCTAACCTTCAGCATGATGGGAGAAAGAAGGTACAACTTACAGGCCCTCCCCCCAACACTTATACTTGCTATACAGATTTCCCAAGGCAGAAACCTGGACAAGGCAACTAGCTTCTCTATTTTCACTTCCTATCACAGTTCACTAATTTCTGGCAAAGCTCTGTCACTTATATTTCTACTGGAAAACCGAATTAACCCCTTTCGGCTCTAAGTTGTAATATACCAACACTCTTATTGGCCAAGGTAGCATCAGTAAATGCGGGCAGGGACCTTAGATACTCTACAGCTCTAAAACCTTTCACCTAAGGAATGGCAAAGGAGAGCTGCCCCCAGACTCCTAAGGGCCTCCCTAGCTCTGGCTGACGGATTCCCTGCAGTCTAGTCTACTCACTAGTGCATCCAGGCATCTCTGTGCCTGGCCTACACTGCCATCTTGAGGTCACTGTTCACCTAGCCCTGCTTCTCAATGAACACATTTCCCAATTCTACCTAATGGCCCCTCTCTCTGACACCCAAGCCAAGGGCCTACAATTCAGAGAGCCTCTGTTAAACAGGGCTGCCATCCTTCCCAGGTTCGCTCTGACACTGAGCAAGGAGGGGAAGTGGGTCTTCACCTCAGAGATCAGATTAACCCCTTTACATTAACAGCCACTGGGAATTCCAGGATTGCAATCCCCATATCCCTTTGTACGATTTATCCAAACCCAACAAAGTTCAGGAGCACTGGATTTGAAATCTGGGGACACAAGTTTGAATCCTATTACTAACCTATGTGACCACATGTCACCACCTTTCTAGGCCTGTTTCCTCATTGAAAATGATGGGGTTGGACTCAGTGACCTTCAGCAACTTCACCCCAGCTCTAAACATACGATCCTACGAGTCCATCTTCTGAGACCACATGAAGAGCCAGCCACAAAGCTGCCTGTCTCTGCTCTTCCCCTTGACTGAAGTCAGGGCCTTAGGACAGTCATAACAAGGGGCTGCAGACTCCCTGCTGGCCAGAACAGGCTCCAAAGGTGAGTCAAAGGCAGTTTTTAGAGCAGGAAGCCTGTCCTCATTCAGCAGCTCCATGCCAGAAAGATCCTCTTGGTGGCTCCCCCTTCAGCAAGAGCAACGGCATCCTACGTGTGCTGGCTGCTTAGCAAGCCCTCATTCCCACACACCTAGTTTCTTCCCTCAGGCTTCTGACTCAGACCTTCTCTTTAACCCCTGGAGGGAAAGTGAAGATTGGTAATTGTTCCCCCCACTGCACCCTCTATTCCCATTTGAAGAATAGGCTCCACAATGGGGGAAATTGAGCCAGCTCAACTCTACACAGAAGTGTAATCTGGGATCTAGGCAACATTGAGAAAAGCCCGTTCCTATTGATGTGTCAAACAGAACAGATCTTTAGTACACCACTCAACTCTGGGGGCCACATCTCAAAGACATAGTAAGCTGGAACAGGTCCAAAAGAAAGTGACCAGGATGGCATAGGCCTGAAGAACAGGCTTAATGTACATTGGTAAAAAAAAAAAATGGAAATACCTAGACTGGAGAAGACTGAGGTAGAAGGTAAGCAATGGTTGCCTTCAAATATCTGATGGGCTATTCCATGTAAGACAAATTGGATTCGGTTTACTTGGCCCCCAAAGGCAGAAGCAGCAATGAGTAAAGAGGTCACAGAGACTGTATGTAAATTTTCTTCAGAGGTAGTAGGGTTCTCAAAAAGACTGAATGAAAGGCAGCTAGGTGGCCTAGTGGATAGAGCACTGGCCCTGGAGTCAGGAAGACCCGAGTTCAAATCTGGCCTCAGACACATAACACTCACTAGCTGTGTGACTCTGGGCAAGTCGCTTAACCCCCATTGCCTCACCAAAAAAAAAGAAAAAAGGCTGAATGCTCACTGGCCAGGGACACTGTAGAGAGGATTCTTGGTCAGTTTTTCCAATTTCTACATCGTATGATTTGTGACTCCAAAACTCGGAGCAAGAGAAAAGGGAGTAATGGTATCAAGATGACGACTGGTCAACAGAGGCTTCATTGGCTAGAAGCCCACCTGGTTTTGGGTCAGTTTCTGGAGATATATACCCCTTTAAATGAGATAGTATTTGTGAAGCACTTAGCTTAGAGCCTGGCAGAAAGTAGGCACTTAAGTAATGCTTGTTCCCTCCTCCCTGCCCCAATACTTCCTTTTCCCCTTGAACACCAGCCAATAGCTGAAGACCTCAGTCTCTGGCTTTACAGATCCTTAAAAATGTCCCTGCGAAGCACTGGTCAGGATGACCCCGGAGCACAGGATTTCAGAGTTGGAAAGGACCTCAGCAACCATCTAGTCCAAACTATATCCAAAAGGAATCCCCTATATAACATACCCTAAAAGTAGAAAGTAAGGTCCACATTCTGGGAGTGGGGTGGATGCAGGGTTTGGCCTTTATTGGGAATCTCTATCTTTTAAACATCACTGTCAAGTGCATGACCAAATAAGACTCCCAGAGAGCACCCAGTTGGGGGAAAAGTGGACATCACGGATAAACACAGTCAAAGAAGCTTAGAGGCAATGGGTCAACTTCTCAAACAATGCAATTTAATAACAACAATAATAAACACTTTCACAGAACAAGAAAAAAGTATGCTTCTGGGGAATGAACTCCCGGAGGGTGTTGTGACATCCGGGTCCTCAGTCTTAGGTCTCTAAACCACAGAAACAAAGCCAGACCAAGGAGTCAGCTTTTATTTACCTTATTTTACAACTTTTTCCCAATTTATATCTGTTGGTTATAACTCTGTCCCCCTTCCCCCTTTCAGAGAGGTTGGATTCCATTACTCATCTCTAGCCTACACCTAACTAGTGGTTCTATCTTATTACTGCTAGAGAGGACAACCTCTTTCCTCCTCTGAAATGATCTCTTGTGGAAAAGGCAGTGCAATAGAAGATTCGAAGCCTACCAAATACTGTAAACCTACGCTGGGGGCACACCAAAACAGATTGTTTCCATGGCCCTAGTCTCATTAAACTTCAGCTATGAAAATATTTAACAAAAAGAGTCATTTCCTTTTTTCCAGGGTCTTAAAACACAAATGAACTCAAACAAGAGAGAGAGAAAAAGAAAGAGGGAGAGAGAGAGAGAGAGAACACAAAAGAGAACAAGAGCAAGAAAGAGATGCATACTGGACAAGTAATTTTTAAAACTGTGCTTTTGGAGCAAACTTGGGAGGATTTTGGATCTGACCATTCCCTTCGCTATGCTGTAGCTGTGATCAGCAACCTTACTAGACTCTGCAGAACTAAAGAAGATCTGCATATCAGGACATACACAGGATGATATAAAGACACAAGCATGCTCACACACATACTCTGGAAGTGGCCAGCCAACCAGGCACTTGGTTCAGTCATGCAGGGAAGCAAAGTGAAAGGAGGGAGATGGACATGGGGATGAGATGGAACCCCTGGAAAACCTGCGTTTGTTGCCTTCCCTCGCTGGAGAGACAGCATCATAGCTAATTGCTGGTTACCAGGTGTCTATGACCTCCCAAAGAATCTGCAGAGCCATGGAAACACAAGGGAACTGAGCTATGGTATAGGCCACTGAGCGGATGGGAGCTCTCAGTTTCACCAGGTAGGCAATGGTGTGAATTATCCTCCCGACAAAGAAGATGAAAAAGTGAAGCCAGGCTATGAAGGGGTCTGGGTCCAGGAAGGAATAGATGGATCCCAAGAACAGAAATGGTAAGATGTTCTCCAGGTCATTCCAATGGGCTCTGGAACAGAAAGAAAACAGTTTGGTCAGCTGCTGATCATAGTTCAATTGCTGGAAGGGGATGCCTCCACACCAACCAAATGTATCCACTCCAAGTCCCTCTTAAACGCTACTCCCAGTTCCCTAATGTGTTCCTAAACACTTCTTATTTGCATAGTCCACAAAAAATAAACATTATGGGCCCTCACCTTCAGGGACGTACAATTTAGTTAAGGGAATAAGATGTGAAAAGTTAAATAATGGGATGGATAACTATAGGGGACTTACCTGAGAATCTGATGATCCTTTCTCCCCTCTGAGGGTAGAAAGCTAGGGGGAGTGATCTATATTTCCAACACGGAATTTTGATTCAATAGGCAGCTAGGTGGCACAGTGAACAGAGCAACTGAACTTGGAGTCAGGAAGACATGAGTTCAAATTCAGCCTCAGTCACTTACTAGCTGTGTGAGCCTGGACAAGTCACTGAACCTTGTCCAGCCTGTTTCCTTATCTGTAAAATGGGGATGATAATAATAGCACCTGCTTTCCAGGGCTGTGGTGAGAAAAAAATGAGATAAAATTTGCAAGACATTTTGCAAATCTTAAAGGTCTATATAAATGCTAGCTAGCTATTAATAAATAACACTGTAGTTCTCAGAACTGATAATATTGACATTCTCACATCTTGACCTATAAGGGGTGTTTCTATACACAAATATAAGGGGGTAGAGATAAACCTGGACAGGCCTATTCCACAGAGAAGAAGAAAAAAACATGGATACTAAATTAATCAGCATTTCTTAAGCTCCTATTGTGTGCCAGATACTGAGCTAGATGCTGGAGATACAAAGACAAAAATAAAATAGGTCTTACCCTTGAGGAGCTTACATTTTATCAGGAGAAAAAACATATTGAGAAAAAATGCATACACAAAAATATATACAAGGTTAAAAATGTTTTACAGGCAGTAGGTCAGCACTAGCAACTTCAGGGGAGATTAGAAAAAGTTTGAAGAGGCTGAGAAGGCAAGAGTTACCCTAGATATGTCCCTTTCAGCTGTGTCAAAGGTCAGATAAATTGTATTATTCTATAACTCCCAGTGACTGTCACCAGAGGTGGCGCTTCTTCGTGAGGCCTGATCTAGGACCCCTGGCGCCCTCTCCTTTCCTAGCACCTGTATATAAAGAACAAATAAATAAATGAGCAGGTTTATCACATACATTTTGCTGTTTCTGGGCTTATAATATTAGAATATTCAGTTTAGCTAAGAGGGGAATCCTGTTCAGACATTTCCCCATCTCATGTCCCCTTGACTGGCCTACTGTGAGCCAACTGGCCCTCAACCATAATAAGACCATCTAAAATACCCTTTTCAGGGCTGCTCATCAACCTTTGGTGTCTATCTGATTCACCCAACTCTCACCAGTGGCTCCAGGAAGCTGCAGCATGTGCAGCAGCCACACCCCAATAAAACCATCTCTGGCAGACGAGCTAACCGAAGCAGAGGGTAAACGGCAGGCCTCAAACCCACTGGTAAGTTAGGGGGATGTCTACCTCAAGCATGTGAAGATTTTACCTGGCAGAATAGGTAGATGAGAACATTGTGCAACTAACTCTGCCTCACTTAAATCCAATTCACATAACAAGCCAAGACATCACCTGATGTCACTGGTCCTCTTCGAAGATAAAGGACAAAGAACAACAACATTCCACAAACACAGCACAATGTTAAAAAATGGGGAAATAAGCACTTCATTTGAAAGAATCAAGGATGTCCCATGGACAAGAACTTAGCTTCCCAACAGAGATCACTGACCTGGGGGACACCTGGCCTTGAAAACCCAAGTAGCCCTATCGACCAGAGACAGGCCAACGAAGCCAGGCGATCCCAACTGAGGACTGGCTAGGGCACTACCAGTGTGGATGTACCAGTGCCCCTCTACTATTCAATGACACATGGACCATAATGGTAGAGCTCTTATTTCTTCTATTGATTGTACAGTGGGGACTGACTAAGGGAGTGCCTGATCCATTTGTTAAATTACAACCCAGTCGATCGCAGCTGGCTTTGTTGAATTAGTTGTAAACACACTTAGGATGTAGAACATGGAGAAACTGCAGAAAAGAGGTTCTTAACCTGGGATCTGTAAATCTGTTTTTTAAATATATGTATTTTAATAACTATTTTAATGTAATTGGTTTCCTTTGTAATCCTATGTATTTTATTGTGTGCATTTAAAAGTATTATTCTGAGGAGTCCATGAGCTTCACCAGACTGCCATAGGGGTTGGGGACACAAAAACGGTCGAGAACCTTTGCCATAAGAAGCCTGGCAACAGTGATCACATGCCTGACTCATTCATAAGCTTAGAATTGAGACTGCAGGTCAGGAAGTCTGAGGATGCTGGCCAGAACCTTGGGCCACAGGCAGTCTTTTTCGTCCCTAACACTCCAGATGACTCGGAGGAGGGAAGAAGCTCATTAAATTAATCAGGGGCTTTCCAGATTGACCATCATTACATTATTCATATGGAAGTGGAAAATGAATAGCTTGTTAAAATTATATATAAATATATATGATATAAAATAAGAGACAGACTATGGAGACACAGCTTGGTGTAACTGCCCTCAGAGTCAGGAAGACTTGGGTTCAAGTTCCATCCATGGCTATGTGGGTCTGGAAAGCTACTTAACCTCTAAAACCCAAGTTACAGAATAGTGGCTGATTTTTCTTGGTAAAGGGGAGATTTCTTCTCTCTTGGGAATTTCCCACACCAAATAAAACACAAATTTGGACAAACATGTTCAGATCCTCCCATCCCCACAAAAAAGAAAGTTCTGCAGAGTTCTCAAGCTAGGGACTGGCTAGGGACTGGAGTTGGGATTTCAATGGTTCCTAGATTAGGAAACTCTCTTTACCCACACAGGCTGGCACTGGCACTGCAATCTAAAGTCTTAGTTGCCTAGAGCACTAAAAAGGGAAGTAACTTGTCCAAGGCTGAAGAGTTAAAATATCCTGGACTTCCATAAAGCTAAACACGAGTTAGGAAATAAGACAGGCTTGTTGCAATGCAGATCAGTAACTGCTCTGCAAAGCAGAGCACTCCAGAACAGCCTACGGTGTGTGCCCACAGCCACAGAGCCAGCCTGTGCCCAGAGGCAGGTTTCTCTGACTTTACTGTGTGCTGCCTCTCACACATCACTTTATCACACTGGCAAAACAATAATCACCAAGTAATTTATAGGCTCCCTGACTCTACTTTTCAATGAAATGCCTTTTATTATAAAGATCAAGAAAGGATGAAAATTTTCCATACCTATACACAAATTAATGATGTGGGGGACAGCCAATTTGCTTCAATCTAATTGGAACTGGTTAACATTTTCCATGAGGCATTTAGCTAACCTTTGATTTCCTTGAGTTCAGTGGTAAAGAGATTCCAGATTATCATAAATTAGTGATTCAAATTAGTGGTTTAAACCCACAGGTTGGAAGTCTGACCAATCTGTATATGCACACAACCAAGAAACATGATCAGAAAAGAAACTGGAGTGTTCATATCACAGAGCAGGAATAAGATATGGCAGATGGGCAGCCAGCTGGTTTGGTATATTTGAGCCTCTAAGGTACTGAGAGGAAGTATCTGGGGGTAAGGGAAGGATTTATGGGGGGAAAACACAGATAAGTTTCACAAATAAGTGCCTGGGCCGAGATCTCTATCAACAGAGAGGAGCAGTTACAAGGAAATCACAGATCCACAAAAAGTGTCCATTAAAGCAAGTAAGAAGCACACTCCAAAAATAGTAAAAGTCCCTTACCCTGCTCCTCCCCACCAATTCTGTAACTCTTGATTCCCCACCCCACTGCCATCACACACACAAATCCACATGCTCCAGAATCTGCTTCCACAGAATTGAATATTTTGAACTGAAAGGAACCATAGAGATAATCTAATTCTTGCCCCTCATCCTTTTTTTTTAAACAGACCAGGAAGCTGAGGCCCAGAAAGGGGAAGGGGGCTTGCCTAAATTTACAAAGCTAGTCAATGGAAGAGACAGGCTTCTCAAAGCAGCACCCTTCCTGCTCCCATTCCAGGGCCCCTTCATCCCTCAAGCTCACCATCATTACCACCACAAGGGCAAGACCTATTCTACCTTATCTAACTGGAATGCTCCAGGGCCCCAGTCACTCTAATTCTTTAAACAAAACCCTGTGACTTCCCCATTCTCAAAATGAGAATTTCCATTCTTTGGCAAGAGTCAATTCATACTTGTCCAACCAGAAAGACTGTTACCCAAACAGGGAAACTGGGAAAAACAAGGAAGGCCTGGTAAATGCAGTTCAGCAACCCAACCCCAGTGAACTTTCTACTTCTGTATAAGGAGACCAATCCTTTTCAATCTTTGCTCCTAGAATTTGTGCCCAAAGGGACAGGCATCTAATTCTATATCTTATAAGGCAGTTGGTTTGCTGCACAGATGTTCTGTGACTGCTGAACAGCGCCTGCAACGATTTAGCTTAACTCAGCCTTCTAATCCCTAGACCAAAGGGCCAGTCAATCAGGCTGGCATTATTTTATTCTCACTACTTTTCAATTTAGATGCAGCTCTTCCCACGACCCTCCTCCAATATGCTTAGAAGGGGAAACATTGTCAACTTCCCCAAACATGATTTCTAATCAGTGCCCCTGTTCAAGACTTGGTGCTGCCCTTAAGGCAAGTCTCTTTTACCCGCCACCCCCAGAAGTGGCCCTTAGAAGAAACTGTGAAGCCTTTAGGGAGACCCTCCACAGTCACTCAATGCTCCTTCTTAAACATGTTATCTACCCACTGTTAACAGAGCCAAGATTTCTGTACAGTCCAAGGAATCCTGATTTTTATGTCACCCTTGTCAGGAATATTTGCATTTTAAAAAGAGAAAGTTGGAAGGAGCTGATGCTTAACATCAAGGAATGTCTCTCTACTGCCTGGACTTCAGGGTGGTGGAGGTGGAGATCTTAGAGGATGAAGAAGGGGGGTCCC